AGCCATGGCAGAGCTTTGGGAGAAGGTTTGGGATTTGAGGCCACGTGGCTCCAGGCTCTGTCCCTCATTCCCCAGCTCCTGGAGCCTTCCTCGGACTCTTCCCATGCCCAATGGGACTTGGAGGAATTTTTATTTTTAGAAGTAAGGATCGTGGATTCCCAGAAGGGTTTGGGTTGGAAGGACCTTWAAGCTCCTCTCATCCCTCCCCCTCCACAGGCAGGGACACATTCCATTAGCCCAGGTTTGCTCCAAGCCCCATCCAACCTGGCCTTGAACGCTTCCAGAGATGGGAATTTGGAAGAAGTCAGATGGGAATTTTTATTTAAATCCGTATTTAAAAATAAACACTTGGACCTGACGAGCGCCAGCCGGCCAAGGCAGGTTGCCACCAGCCCGCACGTGTTCCCGATCCAGGACCTGCTTTCCACCACGGCAACTCCTCCTCCTCTTCCTCCTCCTCCTCCTCCTCCTCCTCCCAGCTCCAGAACCGGTGGGAAAGTCTGTGGCTGTTGCTATTTTCTATCTGTTATCAAAGCCTCTTATCGCTTTGCTCTTGTCTCCGTGCCGGCTCTCCGAGCGCCCAGGGTCTCGCTCTTGGCAGCCTGGAAAAGATCCCCCCTCCTCCTCCACCATTCCCTATATTCTCCTGCCTTTTATTTAATTTCCCAGCTAAGCACAAAGAGTCAAGAAAAGCTTTATTGTTCCTGCGCTGGGAGAACCTTAATTGGAGCGTGGTGATCAAATCTTTACCTGGATAACGCCGGGTTTCCCTGGGAATGCCGACCCTCAGCCCCAGCCCTGGCGACTCAAGCACATCACCTCAGCTTCCTGCAAGTTTTTAGAGTCACTGTGAATTTTTTTTTGAGGAAAAAAGAAGAAAAAAAAAAGAAAAGAAGAAAAAAAAGCAATCCTTGCTCGTTATCAATAAAAAAAAAAGAGGGAAAAGGAGGGAGGGGGAAGAGTTAATCGTCGAAGCAGAGTATCTTGGAAGGGAGCGTTTTTTGGCTCTTCCCCTCTCTGTAAAACCAGCCTCAGTAATTCAGTTTTAAAGCATGAAAAAAGGGAGTTGATGAAATTCCACTATCAGCACTGAACCAATATGCAAAATATCTCGCCGAGAATCAAATAGCTATTATGTTTTCATTTCCATTTCAGCGTATTTGCTTAATGAAGAATAGACAGATCAGGCCAGCCGAGGGAGGCTGTGTGCGGTGATAACTGTGCAGGGCTCCCAGCAATCCCGGGCAAGTGACGCTCCCTGCTCCACGCTCCCTCTCCTCACTCCATTTTTTTTTTCTTTCCCTTTTTTCCCCTTTTTTAATTTTTTTTTTCCAGTGGTTGGTTTAACCCGCGCAGCTGGAGCGTCCCTGGGGATTGGTGGGGAGGGGGATCTGCTGTGGGGTTGGGATGTGGGCAGGGATGGGATTTTGGGGTGCTGCTGACCCCCCACACCCTCCCCATGGTGATCCCTCATCCAAACCCCTGCATTTGTGTGGAGCATCCCTCTGCCTTGTGCTGGGAATGTTTTGGGGTGGGATTTGGGATGTGTCCAGGGATTGTGTGATTCCAGTCACCCCCATAGCGAGTTTGACACAGCTGGATTTATGTGGAACATCCTCATCTTCCTCATGGCTGGGCCTCGGTGGTTTGGGGTGGGATGTGRGTGGTCCCATTGCATCCAGGGACCATGGTGATGTGATTTTGGGGTTCTGTTGGTTCCCCATCATCCCTGCAGGCACTGGATGGCACCGTGGTACCCAAACCCAGCTGGGTTTATAGGGATCATCCCCATCTCCTTCCTGGTGGGCTATGGATACTTTGGGGTGGGCTGTGGGTCATCCCAGGATGCATCCAGGGACCCCAGTGATGTGGTTTTGGGATCCTGGTGGTTCCCTGTAGGCTCTGGGTGACACCACAGCACCCAAACCCCAACTGGATTTATGTGGAGCATCCCCATCTCCCTGCAGGCTGGGGATGGATATTTTGGGGTGGGATATGGGATGCACCCAGGGACCATGGGTGGGATGCTGCTGGCTGCCTATCATCCCTGTCGGCCGTGATGCTGTGGTACCCACCCCATCCCCATCCTCCTGGAGCTTCCCATCACTCCAGGGCAGGATGTGGGTGGTCTCAGCACCCTTGGGTGGGTGTCAGGTGCCCTCTTGGTCCCACCCATCCCTTCCCACCCCTCCCTGGGCAGGCTGGAGGTGCCAAACCCCAGCGCAGGCGAGCGTCGGGTTAACTTTATCAGAAGCCCAAGAGCCGTGAAGGCGTGAAGGAAGAAATTAGCCTAACAATGTTTCATTTACAGCGGGAGAAACGATTTGTTAGCTGGCGATTGTTTCTGAATATTATCAGAGCCTTTTTAATTGTGCTGGAACTGAAATTAGCAGAATTAGAATAAATTGCCTTCCCTTCTCCGGCAGCCTCTTTATTCACGCTCATTGTTGTGTGCTTTGTATAGATTATGGGCTCTTTGTTCTGCTGCTGTAAATATACATGCCTGGAGTCACGGCGAGCAGCTGAGGTCTGCAGACGGGCTGGCCCCGCTCCGGTGCCCCCGTGATCCCCCCGTGATCCCCCGTGATCCCCCGTGATCCCCCGTGAT